ATAAGCTGGCAAACCACTGAGCATTCATAAAATATCTCTAGCATAGTTTGTTTATTCATGACAGTCCCAATTTGAACGTCTCGGCTTATCCCATCATTCCTAATCCCCGTAACTAAAGAAACTTTTTTTTTTTCTAGTGTGAAGAACATTTTGAAAATCTAAATCTTTTTCCACTATAAATGAAATGGAACGTTTCTATTGATGTCAAAGATTCTTTATGGAACCATGGACACCAATAAGAACCTTTATTTTTAAGATTGTAGCAAAAGTGTGTACAGTGTCAGGAATGGTGCCAAGAGGTATGATAGACGACCCCAGCCCGGTCGCACATATTCACCTGTCTTTTTATACAGTGGTCCTAATGTGTAAGCAAAATATTTAGGGCCAACACTATTAAAACGAGAGAACTTTCTATAATTGGAAGATTTCCTACAGAAAGCTTGGAATGCAAAAAATACAATAAATTCCCACCAAATTAGTTAACTTTGCTCACTTCCACCATGAATGTCAGTCAGTGTAGCACTTACTTTGGCCCAATTAACACATTATAAGAGTTCTGTCATGACAACTCTCGGCGGGACTGGCATGGTAATGTACATGACAATGTTAATGTATTTGGTCTTGACGGAATAGATCTGCTACACTGCTGCTGCTGCGGCAGAGCAAGTACCGAGACTTGCTACTGCCAGTACATCCACAACATGCTGCTATGAGCATGTAAGAAATATTGCTGCTGCAAATATAACATACATGAAATGACCCCCCACAAAGCAGGAGACATAGAAGGGACAATAGCCAAAACAAGAACAAAACACCCCCCAACAAGCAGATCTATCGCCAAGACATATGTACTGCTGCTGCTCTGAAGAGCCATGTGAACCGCATGCATTACTATCTATGTGTGCCTGGGCTACCACACCGACCGGCTTCACGCTAGTGGCCTACTATGTGAGCCTGGGCTACCACGCCGACTGGCTTAACAGTAGTGGCCTATGACTATGTGTGCCTGGGCTACCACGCCAACTGGCTTAACTCTAATTAGATGTGCACTATGTGTAATGTTTAATTAACAAAATGTGTATACGTTGAAATCCAATAGATAAGACCCCAGCATCCACCTGAGCAAATATTATAATTTAGTCCTTTGATAACTGCTGTTACTTTCTCCCCTTCATCAGTCCCAGCTGCAGCATAACAGCTTGTTAATTCAAGTTTGTGCAATGATGAGACAGACAAAGTTAGCCGATGCATGCCATTTTACTCTCTCGTGATAAAAGTTGTCAAAGTTACAGTGCACAAGAACCCCTGGCTGGACTGACCTGAACTGAAATAAAAGCAGAATATAAATGTTCTTTCTTTGTTTTCTGAATTACACAACACAGCGAGAGCACACGTCGCACAAGCACATTTCTCCGAACTACACTACCCATAATGCATTTCACTCGGAACTAACTGTTACAGTCGTAGATAATGATCTTCAGCATTTCCTGCAACACTGTCATTGATATGACTGCGATAAGCGTGTGCAGCTGAAATCAACCACACACTCATCACAATGAAAACATCGACCTTAGAAATAACGAACGTGAACACTGGGATAATCGCCGATGTATATGTTGAACCCCCGTTGAAATGCATACACAAAAATGCTTATTTAATTTAACCTGTTTCATGTCCGTTACTATCGGCGTGTCCTTAGAGCAATTACATATGCTCTAAACTGTGTTTGCTCCAGCTGTATAAACACAGATGCTAAATGCTGCTGCTAATATGCTTAATATTCACTCCTGCATACAATGCAAACTGCTAACATGACACTTAGTTTAAACTTGATTATGGCTGCTCATTTTTGAATTCAATTAGGCAGACCACGCAATACTGAATCTTGCTGTTTTCCTGTTTCATTTGCATATTGTGTTTGCCAGCAAGTTTTATATGGGATTACATCTCTGCCACAATTCTGCGCGCAAAAGTGCGTTTTGCACGCGTGCGAACTGAGTTTTGTGGAGAAAATGTTTGTCTCGCAAAGAAGAAAGTATTTTGAGCACACGAAAATCAATTTTGCATTTAAAATACGTTTTTGGATGTGTGCAGACCTTCTCTTTTGCGCATATAACGTTTCACTAGCTTGCTCACCTGATGCCCGCCCTCAGTGCTCTCTAAATGCCAACAGCTTGCTTGCTTAACACAACCCAGCATTACAATATGCCATAATTCAAGCCAATCAGAGACGAGGCTGCTAAATTCTGATTGGCTGCCTTGGCAACCATTCACAACATTTCTTGCATTACCTCGACAGCAGAAGAGGAAAAATACAGTGCATGCATAATTATTATGCAAGTTCATATTCTGATCATATTTTTTCCAAGCACATTTTACCAATTCCAAACGACATCAATCTTAATAACTACTATTAATCTTGTATTTAATCATTTATAATTGATATATAATTATTCATGAAGGCTGGAAGTGAAAAATGTCTTATATTCATATATATACACTTTGTACTTTTATATGTACTTTTGCATTAAACTGCATTACATTGATAAAAATGGATGTTAAGGGATTTTTACATTGTTACAAAGGATTCTATTTTAAATAAATGCTGTTTTCTGATTCATCAAAGAATCAATCTTCCACAAAAATATTAAGCACCACAACCATTTGCAACTGCGATAATAATAAAAAATGTTTCTGAAGACTGGAGTAATGATGCTGAAAATTCACTTTGACATCACAGGAATATATTACATTTTAAAATACATGAAAATAGAAAACAGTCATGGAATAATATAACCCCCCCACCCCCCACCGGTCTGCCTTGTGCCTCACTGTCCTCTTTTTTGAAAACTAAAATATGGTCACCCTACCACTGTTTGAAAGAGATCCCATATTGAACAATTCAAATAGGCTATTGAGTAATTGGGATTCATTATGTAAGGTGATGACTTCATATTTGCGTTGAGTGATGTGATACTGAATGAACCGATGGAATCAGTGCTTTACCGCAGAAGCTTTCCTGTCTCGGCTTATAATATTTTGCTCTTACATTTCCAGGATAAATATTATAGTGTCATGGAAGCAGTGGAATTTCTACCTGCACAGAAAAGAAGCTTGACCGTTCACTAGCTAGCAGGCTAAATAAATGACACTGTCTGAACTTCATATGGCACACAGTATTCTCACAGTATTCTCTGACTACACACCAGCACTTGATGCAACAGTGCAGTATAATCGGATGAGGTAAGAGGGGCGCCTGGTTTACAGCTGGAGTCTTATTGTGTGGTGTCTCCATACTGCTGTGGCAAGCCATTTTAAAATTTATTGCTTTAAACTAACCAATATCTATTTTTGTTTTACTCGAATTTCGCTAGTAACTATTTATTAAAAATAACTTAATTTACTAGTGACTAGTCTTTAAATTAGTCTATACTTATTGAATTCTGTGGGGACCTGGGATTCAGCAATCAACTACATACTTCAGACTACAAATGTATTCCAGTTGCTGACAGCTATTAAATATTCATTAGATGCCAGCACCAGCTAGCGTAGACACTAGCAAAAGCTGCAATTGCAATTAATAAGTTAGATAGGATAGGAATGTGCAAGCTCATTTTTTGAGGACATGGAAAGAGCTGTGAAATGAGCTGTGAAGTTTGGCTTCCAGAAAGACAACTGAACACACCTCTCAAATTGTCACTGGTCAAGGGAAGCCTATCCACCTTATTTGTAATGTGGAAGTAAGCTATTTTATGTGAATGTGCGAGATTTCCAATTCAATTAGCTGCTATAGGCAAAAACAGTACATTTATGATTAAAATAATATATTTAAATAATATGATAAGAAATACCAGCTTGGAATGGTAAGCAGCATGACTGGAAGCAGATGACAAGTTAAAATTGACCACACCCCCTGTTACGTTAAAAATAATTTGGATAAAGGGTGATTTTAGAATTTTAGCATTGATGTAGTGCAATTTGTGAGGGAGGGTTGGTTGTATTTTATTTTATATTTGGTAGACACCTTCATCAAAAACTAATTCACATTTTCTTCAGGATATAAAGATTGTCACTTCATGCAGTCTGTTAAAATTTTAAGACCTTTCCATTGTTAGTACCATGTTCTATAGTTTGTACTGGATGAAGACTGTGTCTCAGTGGCTACGTTTACATGCACAATTTTTGGTTGAATCTGAATGTAGTGTTTACATGAACGCTAAATAAAGTGATCGGGTTGATGTGCGCGTTTATATGTCACAAGCTTCAAATCTGAATTAATTTGTTTGACATGCGCACACTGCACAAATATAGAGTTTCTCACTGCTTGCACATAATAACCACTATACACGGCTTCTTTATTTGTTTTTAACAGCAAAATTAATATTTATTAATTTATGGATAAATATACATTTAAACCGCTGTGCCGTGCTGCTCATATTTATCACGCAGTAAAAATGCCCCTCCGCGCGTCATACATCATTATGCCATTTCTGCGTCATTGCACATGCGCAGTCCTTTCAGTTTCGGGGTTCAATCCGATCGAGTGTTTACATGCACTCTCAATCGTATTAGAAAAGGAATAAACCACCCCCTTCAATCCGATCAAAATTTCATTCTGATCGAGCTCAATCGGCTCGATTGAGGTGTTTACATGAAGGTATTTCAGTCCGATTGAGCCGTCAATCCGATTACAAATGGATTATTTGGTTGCATGTAAACGTAGCCATTGAAACAGTCCAATCACTTGTGAAATGGATCATGGAGTAGCCTACCAGCATTCAATAAAAAAGTTATTCATGAAATGGTCACATGAGAATTACTTTTTAGTAAATAAAAATATGCACTAATAACAAAAAAGAAAGAAAGAAACAAACAAACAAACAAACAAACAAACAAATAAATAAAGTCGGTCTTGTGGGATAAATGTTAAACCGGTTTGCCACATACTGCGGCTACTGAGAAAAGCCTTCTATATAGTCCATTCGCGAAGCGCACAGACGATGCCCCCAACAGCGCGTGGACTTCTGCTGCACCTTCACTGTTTACTTCACACACAAAGGGTGCAGCTGGCAAAAGGCGGAGTGATCTGGAACTCTTACGTGACAGGCAGATTCCACGCCAGTCTAGCAGCACATCTACACGCCTGAAGATGAAGATGATCTCATGCTTGCGCCCATTTACCTCCCTGTCTCGTTTAAAAACAATGTCTTCAAGGAAATTCGCTGCATGATTCAACAGTCACGCCGTGTCTCCCGGTTACTTTATCACTTTTCGACCATTTCATGAATTATACTGCAATCCACAATGAAATTTCCAACGGAAAACCCAAGGAAACCAGGGAACTGGAACCCTCCAGCAGGTAGGTACATTTCGATCCAAAATGCATTGGCATATACGTTATTGTTCATGCAGCATCTTTGACGGAAGTTATTAAGAGCATAACGAAGCATACATGCGCTCTGGCAGCCAGTTGTCATGTAGAGTGATTGAAGAACCCAACTAATCCAATCAAAAGCACTTTAACCAAGATGCGCAAAATGATGGAGTGCTAATGGGTGAGGTAGTTGACTGTGATCACTTAGTGGTGCAATACCAAAGATTTTACGTCTCTTAATTCTAATAATGGATCTCATTCTATCCGTCTCAGTTTTTCAGTTCAGTTCTTTATTAAGATTCACAACCACGCGTTTCAATCACACCCCTTGATGCTTAAGAGGTTTTCCTCACAAGATAAATCCCAATCACGACATGACCGAGAGACCTGTATTGTTGATGTTTGCTGCAATAGTTTAGCAGGGTAGGAGAGGAACAAGTCATAGAGACGTCTATATAAGCACTTAAAGGCTACCTTTTCCAGAAATCTATAACTGGGATAACGCGTCTACAAGTCTGCGAGTACTATGCAGAGACACGAGAGATGCATAATGAAACGTGGGAGACACGCGCGTTACCTAATCTTACTATGTACCGACAAATCCAACCCGACAAATCACACATATTCACGATGCTTATATTAACCACGTCGCAGATATGTCAGGCGAGGTGATAAACACATACTTTTTGACCTTCCAGGAAACTGTGAATTAGATTTATAGCCTACGTTTGGGAACAGCTATTATTAATAATAGCCTATTATTTTAACACATTGAACGCAGTATAGCTCCTTCATATAATGCGACTACAATTTAAGTCACTATTGTCGATCAGTATTTAATCTTAATTCAAAATTAATAAGGCTTATTGAAATTCTTAATGTCCACTTAATCATTTGCTCTGAAATTTCACTGGGAAAAAATTCTGAAGGTAGGGTCAATATAGCTTGTAAACAACCGATCGAATTGTCACAGTAAATTATTGCGGTCATGCTGCAGGGATAGTGCCCACATAAACAGCTGTGCAATACTACATAATATTGCAGGCGAGGGGATTGCCTTACTACAAGAAAGTTGAGGGCAAATAATTTGAGGCTCACTCTCTATATGTGCTTTCTGTGATTAATGCAATATTTGGTTTATTGATTATAGGGTCATATTGATTTATTTAGAGTACCACCTCCACAAGATGATTTTTTATTATTTTTTTGCAGAATATGCATAATGGTTAGTAATGTTCTTTTATGTGTTTATAAATGCAGCCAGGCGGTCTGAAACAGTGTAGCTGCTCCACCCTGGTACTACTGCTGCTTTCTGCTGTAATGGGTTTTCAGAAATCCAACAGAAGTGTGTGTGCAGACATGTGTGTGTATGTGTGGGTATGCAGCAATTATAAAAAGCTTTGGGACCATTGCATGTGAAACTCCACTCTTTGCCACCTAGAGTGTTTACATTAATTTAAAATCGTCATGTTTAAAAAGAAAGTAAAATGAACACAGGTGCAAACACTAAACTCAAAAAGCAAATTTTCTTTGATTCTAATTTTTGGTCTTTGAATAAGCTTTTTGCAGTGGATAAATGACAACATAAATCAGTGGTTTGCAAGACAAAAACACATCGATGTTCTGTTCTGATAGAATAGTGGACAGCAGGGGGAAAAAAAATGCAAAAAAATAATAAATAAATGCAAATCATCATATAACAGTCAATTTATTTTAGCAAATCTCATAGGTTCATCAGCACTTAAAAGAGGAGAAAATGCAGATCTTTTTGACGTCAGGGCTGTGGTTCCAAACTTTACAGTATTGTCGCAAATTCATCTGTCAGTTGCTAGAAGCCAGGCAAATAAGATTCCATCATGAAGAGGTTGCGTGTCAAGCTCTCATCCTCGAAAACTATGAAAGAAACTACGCAAGGTAAAATAAAATAACATAGACTTCATAAAAAATATTATTTGTTTCATTAATATAAGATTTTAATAACATTTTTGTTTAGATCTGTACAAGTTTGACTTGATATTAAATGTAAAATCTGAGTCCAGAAGCAAAACCAGTTGAGAACTAGTGTAGTAAATTATCACATACATGGCATACATGTATATTGTCTCTTTTTTTAACAGTGCCAGTGCAGACCAACCTGGTGCCGCCCAAGAAGGTCCAGCCAGGGATGTTGCAGTCCAGCTTGGTGCAGGCCAGCGTGGCCACCATGCAGAACCCCATGGGCTGCACTTTACCTCGCCTTTCTGTCTCCCGGCCCACTAGTATGGTGGCCAGCTTGGAAGCGGTGGCAGACGGCTCAGCCCTCCTCACAGTCATGAAGTGGAAGACTGTCCTAGCCGTGTTTGTGGTGGTGGTAGCATACCTGGTTGCCGGCGGTCTGGTGTTCAAAGCCCTGGAGCAACCCTTCGAGAGCAACCAAAAAGACACCATCACTTCGAAGAAAGCCGCCTTCCTGGAGAAACATCAGTGCGTGACCCCCAATGAGCTGGAAGAGCTCATCAAGGTAAAACTGTTGCTCGTCTGTAGTAGAGCTCGGGCAGTGTCCCTTGTGGGATCTCAAATCTAGTGGAACACTATAGCTTCATCGATCTGTCTGACATGTGAGCTTCACTCATGCAATAGACCAGGGCACAGCGGTTGGACAATTCTAAATGGAGCAAGCGACGAAAATAAATGTAAAGATATCAGAGTAGACTGTCATAGTAGACTTATGAAAGCAAGCCGTTTGCTGTAGAGTTGAAGTATTTGATGGATAGTGGCCATGATGGCAGTAATCAGTCTGTTTTGCAGTGTTGAAGCGATGTGCAAAGTCCATTCTTGTCTTTAATAGCTCCCATTTACCGAGACTACTTTAACATGACTTTTCAGAAATGTTCTCAGCAATAAAACGGCAGAGATTTATGGGGAAACACTGCAAACCCTGCAACCTTTCAAACTCTGAAATCTGACTAATACATTTTTGTCAGGTCTGTTATGTGATGTCTAGCGCTGTGACAAAAATGACTTTTCATTCCTGCGAAGCTAATTTACTGTAGACTTATGATTGATTTTCCCCATCTCGCATCAAGAGTTCAAAGTTTTGCTGATTAGCATAAATCAATTTGCCCCTGCTGGTTTGATTTTGTAATTACACCCTGTTGGCTTCAAAGAGCATTATAATACATTGATGACCTTTCAGAAAGAAATTATCCATGTATTCTGACAAAATATTTATTAGACTTAATATTTATTAACATATTACTATTTATTGTTTTATTGATGAAATTGATGTTACGTCCCACTCTCATGTCAATTCATAACTATTTTATGTGTTGATGAATTCGTAATAACTCATTCCTACATTTGTACGACCAGCTTAGGTTTAGGAATGGGATAGGGATTTATTTTTTAATAAAAGTTGTAACTTTTAGATAGATAGTAAATTTTAGAACAATTTATACAAATTTAGTTCAAAGTCATGCAAATTAAAGACCTTGAAATTTAGCGGTAAAGTTTCTCTGTACATTTCTGATTTATTCGTATAAATTTAAGGCTCACTTTCTCTTATACTCCCCATGGACCCGTGTTTATATCAGTTTTTATTATAAGGTGGCGAAGTTCGTGTCCGTGTAATCTATTTATAGCCTGGTTTACAAGGGTCAGGTTCTGCTCAAGCTTGACAAAAGCAGTTTATTTGTTTTGCACTGCATCACCCTCTTTTTTACTACTTCTGGGGTTTTCAGGGACCAGTGCTCACAGCTCCTCATAAAACAGGGAAAGTGGAGCCCAAGTGCAGAGACCTTCCAGAAATTGACTCTGTTCTGTTCCAGTAGCAAGTAAGCTGCCTACATAGGCAGCATTGTAAGACATCATAGGCACACTCACAAAGCAAAGGCTGTTCTAACGCACATGTTCTTCTAGGCTAATTCTAAAGTATAGCATGTATGATGTATGCATCTCAAAACGCTGAAAAAAAAAACAGATGTGGTGAGAGAAAAATTGATTATATACTTAGAATTCAATCAGTAATAAAGTATATTGTTAAAATAGCTGTGCTGTGAATTGCCCACTTAGTGGTATTGGTTGTTGTATGTATCATGGCAGTTCAGAAATGAAATGACTGGTGAGTGGCGCTAAAAGGTTTACACTGTATCGCATTTGAAAATAACCTGTCACCTACACTAAACCTAAACCTAACTGATAGTGTTATGTTAACACTTTCAGTGGTACGGTCCCACATATACTTTTTATTAGATTTTTATTTCCGTGCCCCTGGGAGTATGGTTTATGGGATTTAGAACGTTCGGTGACATCAAATAACTGCCAAATTCAAACTGTGCTTTCATGCTTCATCTGGTGCTGAGACGCCACTGCACTTGTTATATAATCACAACTATGCAGTGGTTTTAACCACATAATCTTTATTTTATGTTTCAGACATTTAAATACACATACACTGAACAAAATGATAAACGCAACACTTTTGTTTTTGCCCCCATTTTCATGAGCTGAACTCAAAGATCTAAGACTTTTTCTATGTACACAAAAGGCCTATTTCTCTCAAATATTGTTCACAAACCTGTCTAAATCTGTGTTAGTGAGCACTTCTCCTTTGCCGAGACAATCCATCCACCTCACAGGTGTGGCATATCAAGATGCTGATTAGACAGCATGATTATTGCACAGGTGTGCCTTAGGCTGGCCACAATAAAAGGCCACTCTAAAATGTGCAGTTTTATCACACAGCACAATGCCACAGATGTCGCAAGTTTTGAGGGTATTGGTTGTTGTATGTATCATGGCAGTTCAGAAATGAAATGACTGGTGAGTGGCGCTAAAAGGTTTACACTGTATCGCATTTGAAAATAACCTGTCACCTACACTAAACCTAAACCTAACTGATAGTGTTATGTTAACACTTTCAGTGGTACGGTCCCACATATACTTTTTATTAGATTTTTATTTCCGTGCCCCTGGGAGTATGGTTTATGGGATTTAGAACGTTCGGTGACATCACATAACTGCCAAATTCAAACTGTGCTTTCACGCTTTATCTGGTGCTGAGACGCCACTGCACTTGTTATATAATCACAACTATGCAGTGGTTTTAACCACATAATCTTTATTTTATGTTTCAGACATTTAAATACACATACACTGAACAAAATGATAAACGCAACACTTTTGTTTTTGCCCCCATTTTCATGAGCTGAACTCAAAGATCTAAGACTTTTTCTATGTACAGGAGAAATTGATGCATTTACGTGCGGTAAATCCGACTGACAGGACTCTCGGAACTGCAGCGCGAACAAACATGGTGGTGCCCATCTCACGTTACAGATCATGATCAAGCTCATTTAGAACGGTTTTTAAATGACAAAACACACTCATTTACACATATTTGTGGATTGGAATATCAGGTAGTTGATGATATGGTAAGCAAGTTTATGAATATTTTGAATAAAAAACGAAAAACGAAATAAAAGCGATCCATCTGTCACACAGTGTTATTGTGGCCACGGTGTGACATGTGACAAGCATGACGTGTCGACAATAAGGGGAAACGTTCTAAAATAATGGTCGCCTAAAAAAAACTCAGGGTGCGTCTCAATCAGCTCCCTTGTTCAGTAGTCAGGGCACTGATCAAGGGAGCT